TCCCATTGCACGGTGGCCGCCATCTACGAAACAACTCAGAAGATTCGGATGATGGCTTCGATGTGGTTGGTGCAAATCCTTTGCATCGTACTCTGGCAACAAGATCAATACATTGTGGATCATCTCACTGTAATCTTTATCTCTTGTTCAGGGTTTTCATGAGAAGGTTAATGTGGAGGGTGCATAAGACATCGAGGTGAAGAATGAGGCGACATCAGGTGCTGTTCCAAGCCAGGCAACCGGGGTTTTATGTGGATTACGTTGGGCCAAGAATGCATTCCCCATCCCACAACTGATCGCCCACGTCGTTCATGGCTTGTGGTCTTCGTTTCCACTCGTCATTTCCTGATATGATTCAAATGAGTCGGGTTTTACGAGCTGTATGCGTTCTATCTGCAGCAATGACTTGAACTATTTATCACTCTACAATATAGAATACACTTACAATGAATGATTGATGAGAACTTCTAAAATCTTTCTTGATAGGAAATATTCTGGTACGCCAACTGATCACCGCATCAATGTGGAGGAAGAGGGCCAAGTCACTCCCCCACTCGACACGGTGACGATAGGTCATCGGTTTAATCTTATAAATATTAGATTGAATTTATTAGATTTTTCTCAAGTATTAATTTCATTAATTTATTCCATAATATTTTTCATCAGTTAGGTCTACAAGTCTTTCAACATCTAATTCACTTAATATGAACTGTTTATGCTCTAACCATTCTAAATAATTTTAACAAAAGAATACAAAGATATTAAAAGTATGTGAATACATCAAAGGAGATACCACTATAAAATATAAAATAATATAAATAATTTAAGTTTTAAAAATATGATAAACCATTAATATTATCCATAGTAGGGTCGACGACGATGCTGGGCCACTACCATAGTAGCGTTGCCACCTGCATAGTCATTGCCCATAGTAGGGTCGACGACCATGGTGGGCCACTACCTTCCACTACCTGACTAATGTTATTGCCGACAACAAACTGCCCATGTTGACCAAAACCAAGCAACACATTATCATTCGCGACTTCATCTATGTTGACAATGAGACCTTCATCGCCCGTAAGTAAACAACTAGAGTGGATGAGATAAATAGAGCTTAATACAAAACATATCTATATACTTTTACAATCCAATGTTTTTTATTTCAAAACATGAGCTCTAATATCAATTGCTAATGTAAAATCATAATCATGCTATTATGAAAAAAAAATATTAATATCAAAATATAAAATCAAATAAAAATAGATCAAGATTAGGTTATATATACCTTTTTGATGTCATTCAAAATATATATACTCCGCCACAAAACTTATATGTACTCCGCAATTCAATCCATAAAACTTAACATCAATCTGCACAAAAAAACTAGATTTATATTCTTCTTTTTTTGCAAAAAGAACTAGACTTTTTTTTTTCTTATCCTTTATATGATTATTATGAATGATGAAATAAAGATTAAATAAAATAAAAATAAATCTATAATCTCGATCATACTGTATCCTATGGTCACATAATATACCAAAAGAATGTTCGATGAAAGAATGGTTTGAAGATGCTGCAGTACATATTTCATTGAGTATGTCAAAATTGGCTCAAAATAAACGTGTCATGGTAGTTGTGCTCTCGCATATATACTCGTAAGAATTAGTTCATGATGTACAAACAGAGTTTATCAAGAAGAGCAAGAAGGATAACGTTTCGCATTTTATTATCCATACGTATAACATTTTGCATTTTATTATCCATATGTGTATCAGGACAAAAAGAATTATAAAGGTAAGAGAGCACAAAAATCTGAAAATTTCCAGAGATTTAGAGGCAAATTCTACAAGTGCTACGTATAATCCTTTGTTAAAAAGAAAATTAGATCCCATTTGACAAGGCAAATACCCGACCTGCAAAGGATGGAGGCAATTTGGCGATAGCTGCCTCAATCTCCTGAAAAACCATAATCAACAAATAATATTAAGCATAGAGGGAAAACATGCAAAGCTATAATTGTCAAAGACACTGTACTCGAAAACATTCGATTATGATATATCTTCATTAGAAAGATAAGGAAGCACAAAATTGATTGTCAAAGCAATGAACAAAACATCATAGTTTTGGAACATTACGGTCAACAACTGACATGAATATAATTGAAAAACATAAGCTTTGAAGATGCATCATTAAAGAACATATTTCAATAGACAGCATTGTTACTGACATTAAGAATGAACACCTCAAAATCTGAAGCTGCAAGAATGAAGAATAGTTTTCTTATAAGGAGAACTATTATGGCATATTCATACATGAACAGCATGGATTTATGCTTTGAACTTTCAGGGGTCAAAGTAGAGAAATCTAAGATAACCTGGATCAAAAATCTTAACTGAAACTGCAATAGTTCATTCATTGGAACCAAGGAATTAACCTTGAGCAGATAGATTCAGGCAAGGTTTAAATAGATTAACTTACCTCTCTATAATAACGAGCTGAAAAATGGATGAGAATGATTGCTTTGTTCTGGAATCGATCACCATAACTTGCAATCTGTAAAACAGCACAATAATTGACAGGAAAGTCCAAAAATGTAAAGCTAAAAGGTAATGCTCAATATGACAAAATTTGACAGTTTTATGCTAACCTCAGACAAATGGGTGTGGCCATAATCCCTAGCATGTTGCACTGGCATTGCGTTATCAACAAAAGTACTCTGGAAATTACACAGTGATTAGGGTCAAGTGAAAGTTCATTATGCATATGTAGGTATGTTCAGTCTATAAGAATGGAATAATCATCAGATGTACTTCAGTTAAATAATAGTCAGCAATACACTACTTATGCCTAAATACAAGTAACAATGAACAAAACAGAAAAAAGAAGAAACATTTACGTAGGAACTAAAATTACGCAACTCCTCAGTATTACAGTTTTGCCTTGAAGAAATGGAACAGTAACAATTATTTTAACAGATCCCCGAAGAGGAAGCTAGTCAAAATAAGGATGCAATGCAGCACTTTATGCAGAAAAGTTGCTTGTTATGGAAACAATATGATAATCTCCACGTGTGTATGTCTGTGCACGATCAGGTCTGAATATGAATTGTATTTACGTTGTACATGGATTTCACACAGTTGCACCTTGCTGCTTATTTATTTCTCATATATTTATGGTTCGAAAAACAGAGTACATTCATTCGATGCAAATCAATTGCACACCAACAAGGCTACCACACCTTGCTATACGTTTTTAGTGCAGCATTCAAAAGATGTTGTGAAATGCTACTGATTGCAAAATAGAAATACACCCTTTAAAAGTTACAAAAATGGTTATGATTTTAAAATATCAAGATAACATTAGAAGCCTTATGACCAACCTGAAATTTTAAGTGAACAAAATCGATTAAAATCTTAATTTGTTCCTAATTAAATTTTGTAAAAAGAAATTAAAAAAATTGTTTGTTTAAACAGGATATGTTTATAAACAAACACTTATCACAATACTCAAAAAATCAAAGTTAATAGCTGACATGCACTTATAGAATACCTAAACATATCACTAATTTCTAGTATGTAGGAAGCTCAAAATAAACTTGCAAGAGTGATTCTGATGAGTGATTTCAGTCATGACTGGAAGAATTATTACCTCCATGACAAGAATCCGTGCTTTTAGGACATCAGCATTATCAGGGTCAATAACAAAATCTGACATGGTATCTCCAGTAAAGGCTATTTCAGGAGTTGCTATTGGGTAAGTAATCTGCATTTCATACAACATATTAAGAAAAAACATCACGAAATCAAACTTATGATGAGAGAATTATCAGAATGAACTTGAGTTATGATAAATGTTGTGCATCATCCACTATTTATCATTCTATTAATATATGTGAATCATTATTATTGATGTCCACCAAAACAGACCTCAACTCCCGAGACTCGTAATTTCTTAATCTCATCTCCAGAAAGACCACAAAATTCTGCCTTAAGTTTTCGTTTGAAAGAATAGATAACATATCCCTGCAAATTTTAGAGAACAAAGTTACTTTTTTTACTTATTAATTGTATACTGCATAATAAAAAGTTCAAGATGTTCTAGCCTGGCTAGGTACGACATGGTAAGTCTTAAATGCTCTGACTTTAAGATCGTTTCTCAGTTGAAACTCCTCTCCTGCAAGATAAATCATATTATAACAGAAAATGTAGCCATCTCCACATGATATGTTTCTGGATAGATACTTACCTACATTAAGACCAATTAGATTGTGTTTCAGTTCCGATTGGTCCATTGCCCTGTGTACCTCAAAAAGTTTTTCCACATGTTCTTTTATAGACCTTGGGACAAAGATAGTTGGAGGTTTCATACTATACAAACCTCGAGTGGCGACATACATTGGTAGCCCTCCCTGATACAAATAAGATGGTTAGACAAAAGTTATATCTGCAAAAGTCAAAATGCCATATAGAACTAAATCCATTAAAAGTCCATGAAATGAAGGGTTTTATGAATAACATTCTTGTCCCAATTGTATTCTTAAGAGCATACAAAACATGAAAAAATCATTTACAAGGTAGTAGCTGCCTCACCAACAGGTATATGATAGACCACATTTGGAATTCCATGAATTAAGTAGAAATCCATTAATCGAGTACTGAAGGTGCTGTCAGATTCAAAAGCTTGTGGAGGGTGTGATAGTTCTTGTTCTGGTTGTTGCATATGGAATATGACCTCAGGGAGCACTAATGTGAATTTGGGATATTGTCCAGGACAAGGTTAGCAAGACTGTAGGTTCTGTGAAGGCAACAAGCTATTTTCTTTCTTGTGGGATGCCAAATGATGACACAACAGAAACCAGCCTCAAATAATCATTCTACCAATAACTACAAACCCACAACAATGCCGTTGTATGCTTACGATGTGGTCCATATGGCCATGGCTAATGAACAGAAAATCCTGGGAGATTGCTCGCTGCGGGCATCTACCGATGTCAAACGCTATCTTGAGGGAGGGAAATATGACGCAAGTCTCCTGCCCTCCGATCGATAGCCCCTCAACCGGATATCCTTCAACCAGCATCGACTTTTTCTCCTTTGAAACCGACGAAGCCGGATCACTAGCTGCTTCGCTAGTCTCTTTAGTGCTTCTCCGACTCCCCATCGCAGTGTCTCTCTATGCAGATTGGCTCCAAAATTTTATCCTCTTTGCGTCTCTGCCAGGTTTGAAGAGAAAAAAAGAAAGAAAGAAACCGATTTTTACCAGTGTCTTCGTAAACAAAGAAGAAACCGGATGTCCAGACACACCAAGATTACCCTTTGTGATGATTTTTAGGAAGAATCATCTTCTGCAACTAGACGATGAACAAAACTAAGTTCAATAGTTCAAGAAACAATCATAACCCTAACAACGCCGCATGTAAAAAAGATAGGAAAAAGGTATGGGTCGACCACGGTCCAGTGGAGAAGAAACCGAAGAATCGAAGAAGTAGAGAGATACCTCATGGGAGCGAGCTCGACGCCATCGCCAAGGGAAGGACGGAGACGAGGAGCGACTAAAGGGATGTCGGAAGTCTGAAGGAGGCCGAGCTCAACACTCGCCAGGACAAAAGTTATTGGTGTAATATAAGCCGAACCGGGCCATAAAGTCTTGCAAAGAGATCGGACCGGTCCAAATTAGCCGAAAAATGTTGTAAACCGTAAAGTCACGTGACTCCGTCGTTATTTTATAATCCACAATTCACGTGCCGAAGAGAAATGTTACTTTAGTCGTGTTTTGTGAGATACGAGTATTAGACGTGTCCGCACAACGAAACACTCGCCCCCACCGAATACCTCACTGCTCCACTAGATGTGTGCCACGCTAAAAGTCGTAACATTTGTCGTACCTGTTCCATTCGCGACAAAATAATACCCGGCCCTTCTTTGCCCTCCCTCTCTCCTCTCTCCGCAATTGTCTTCTTCTCGGCTTCGATCTCGTCTGAGATCCGATCAATTGGCGGTGGAATCCATCGGAACGACGGGAGGGGGCGATGTACGGGTTCGAGGCCCTCACGTTCAACATCCATGGAGGGTACCTGGAGGCCATCGTCCGCGGCCACCGATCGGGCCTCCTCACCGCCTCTGACTACAACAACCTCTGCCAGTGCGAGACCCTCGATGACATAAAGATGCACCTTTCTGCCACCGAGTACGGTCCCTACCTCCAGAACGGTGAAATCACTTTTCCATTTCCTCTCCCGATCCAATTCAACCGCAGTTTTCCTCTTATGTTGTTTGATTTAGCTGTTTCCGTTATAAAGTTGCAATTTTGGCAACGAGGGGCGATCTGTGTTGCGCATGATTTCATCCTCTTGTCGCCAGAAGGTATAACTGAACCAAATGATCGGTATGTTTACAGGTCCCGTGTAACTGGGTAGAAGAATAATACTGCGTACAAATCTGGTTCAGATCTCTGTTCTGATGTGTGATCGTATAGGAAATTGGGAACAACTTGACTTTGTTGTCATTTCTTTTCTTTCTTTTGATTAATTTGTGATTACATTTCTCTTAAAATACTTGTGATCAATAAAGTTTCTAGTGTTTATTGCATGACGAAATGCAAAGCATGAGTTTTGACTTTGTGTGCCCTTTATTTATGAGAAGAGACTTTTGCACATCGGATGCAAATCTTGTTGATTCCTTTTTTTAAAGAATGGACTAAAATTGAACAGAACCATTCTTTTTTGTAGGATATGTAATGAATGTATGAAAAAAAGGGTAACATCACAATTCAGATTGATGGGAAATTTGATATTTAGTTAACGAGCCTATCATAATCTAGCAGAAAGCCCTTCGCCTAAGTTAGTAATGGTAGATCCATCTAACCTTGTAACCAACATAATTTTCTCCCAATTTTGATGTGGGACAACCCCCCCCCCCCCCCCCCCCCCCC